ATTTTTTATACAAATTAATAATAAAAAATAAATATATCTTTAAAAGATAAACTAAAAAGTTGTTCTAGAAAACTGTTTAAAAGAATAGGTGGCAAAAAAAAAAAATTTAATAATGATTTTTCTAACTTAAGTGTAATTAATATACCTTTTAACAATTAATTTATATAAAAAAATTAGTTCATGTAATTTTGTAGTTCTCAATTTTTCTTCCTTCAAACTTCTTTTTTCTTTTGTGTTAAATTTTAAATTTACAATTAATTCTTCAAAATTTCTAAACTTAGATAATTTTCGTGAGTTAAAAAAAATGCTATTTAGTTATAAAACTACCTTACAATATGTAGGGTTTTTTATTCTTATTTTCTTGACAAAGTGACAATTGAGATTTAATTAATCTAATTGATTTTAATTGCAAGTAATTAAATTTTAATGTATGAAAACTAAAATTACAATAATTAAATCTTAATGAAACATTTAAAAAAATTCAAAAATATTAATGATTTAATGACATAGGAGGCCATGTCAGAGTTCAAAGGGTCTGTGGAATCCATTCTAATTAGAGACCGTTAGTCTTAACGGAATACTGACATGGGAGTTAAACAAAGGCTAATTTGCCACCGCTCATGAGTTTTAGGGGTCAAGTGCTACTAATTTCAGTTGGGGGGCTTTTTTGCCACCTCTTGACATGTTTAGGGGGTAGTTTGCATGATTTGCCAAACAAAAAATGTTTTTTTTTTTTTGACAAAGATAATGGTTAAAAAATTAGTTTGAATTAGTTATTAGCAACTGGAGATTCGATCCCCAGATCGGATGAACATTCCATCCCCTCAAATAAGGCGTGCAGCCATTGGATCGTTTTTTGGTAGAGCTCACGGTGGTAGAGCTTGAAATTCCGACCACCTCACTCAAGCACTTAAGGTTTGGGGTCGAATCATTGGGTCTAAAGGCCCGGTTCGCCAAACAAAAAAAGTTTAAAAGCAAGTATTACCATAAACTCGTCTATAGTATTGACAAATTAAGATTTTTTTTCTTTTTCTTTTTGCTCCATCACCTTGCCTAGGCACTAGGCGGTCGAGCTAAGCAAGCCACTTATTCTATTTTTTAGATTTTCTGTTCTATTTTGGCTTTTTTTTGCATAAAAATTAAAATGCCTAGAGTGTTTAGGTGGCGCTTAAGCAGCACCAATGGTGCAAGGCAGTGGCCCAACACCTAGGCACTGCCTAGCGTCTTTTGCAACGCTAAGACACATGAAACCACTGCCACGGCAACCTAGGCATGGCACCAGCCACCACTCTGCCTACTTGCGCATTTTGTAATACTGTTGCAAACTCTTACAAACAAAATATGACACCTTAATCCCAAATACTGCCTTGGTTGCAAGACAGTAGTGCAGACACAAAAGAAATCAAGGACGAAGAGAAGTATAAGCATCAACAACATCAAGTACTGCAATCTATTTGATTTTGGACAGATTCAGGAACCTATACAGCCTACACAGTTATATTAAATCAAAATTAATGTTTCTTTAAATTTTATTTAATTTTTAAAGTCAAGACATTCTCATCAAATATATATATATATTTACAGCAATTTCCCCTCTGCAGTATTTGAGATTATGCTTAGTCCACTGTTTTAAAATAATACCTGTTAACTGGAAAAATCCCACATTGGTGAATTAAAGGGAAACCTATGGACTTCAAATACAATGTGGTACTCCACATATTACCACTGGTTTAATTTAGATATTTACATGGTATCAAAGCCCAGGACCAAGTTGTATGAGCAATCCGAGGGGGTAGTTGATGTTAGTCTGTCTGCACAAATCCAAAAGAGTTGCAACGAATTTCCAACCCTGGAAGGGTTGTTGGAAGCCCTGGTGTGCAATCGGAGGTGAGGTTGACAGTGGCTTGGTGTGCTATGACCATGTGACAGGTGCATGTGAGAGGGTGTGTCATGATTAAGAATCTCATATCAGTGAATTATAACCAATGGATTACTCCCCCTATTGCCAATTGATTAGAGGTTGGATGTTTAAAATACATTTTCCAGTCACCTCTTAAACATAAACAACCTAAGTCTGACAAAAACCTAACTAAAGTCAGACCCTAATACTACTTTTATTGTATAATCTACCTAGAGATCTAGTCACTGACGTATATTACAGTTTGACAAATACTAACCATATGGAAAACACTCCAATTCATGACATAATGTTTTGCATTTATAAAATTGACGTGCTGTATCACCAATTAAGAAAACTGGATTTGGGGAATGTTTAAATCAATTCAAGCACAACCATAAAATAATTTCAGTTGACTTGAAAATTACAAAAACACCAAAACTAAAGAGATTATGAATACTAATAATAGATTTAACCAAGACAACTGAAAAGACTGAAGAAAGAAGCATAGCCAATATACCTCCACAAGTTCAGAACCCCAGGGAGGGCTTGTTAAAAAAATCCCGTATGCGGTCGTTAATTGGGTAAAAAGATGAGCAAAGCCTTAATCGCAATTTAAAAATAGTTTTTCCATCTTCCAAATAATCCAGCCTCTCCTACAATTAAAAGATATGAATTAATAAATAATCATCTAACACAGTAAAATGTAACCATCTATGTGATAATGAAGCTAGGCTAGTTTTATTTATAACAATCCATTGAAAAATTGAAATCTTAAACACAACGAAAAAAGAATTAGTAACATAATAGGGTGTGAATATCATTTTATAATGTACAATGTAGAAAGGTTCAAACAAATTAATTTTTTCTTGTGACCAAAGGTTAACACATGTCAAAATAAAAATACCTTTCCATTTTCTTGAAGATACTAATAACACTGATTTAGAAAACTCAAACAGTTTCCATGATGCATGTTGTAAACCTCTCACCTCAATTACTCATTCTCTGGTCTATGGACGTAATATATCTTACGGTGCTACAGTTGTAGCCAGCATTACAATGCTAGATAGATAAATTTGCTCCAAGCCAATTGAAGCGTTTATCCATTCAAAATTGAATCAAGAAATAGGCAAACCTTATGTACAGAACACAAGAAAAATTCCCTGGTTGTTTCCTATCAGCCATGCAAATAAGCAACTGAAATGCAACAAAAATATAAAAAGAAAATACAAACACAAGAAAGGCATTCTGCTTACATCACCAACATTGAGATCCGGATTTCCATGAGTGTTTCCATTTCCAGATGCATTTTTCTCATCATTAGGAATCCACTTGGAATTGCTACTCTGAGGCC